CTAGTGGGGCTTGTGTTGTATGACTTTATTGTTTGTTGCTTTGTCTGATTAGGATTTGCTGTGCATTGAGCAATGAGCATGTTCCTCTTGCTCTTTAGTTTATGAACATAATGGCCTCCATGTATAAAATGGAAGAGTAACGAAGACTCGCTGGGCTACAGTGTTTTGGTCAACGCCTTCAGAAATAAACTACAGAGACCTTTCTTTAGTTGCAAACGTTTTGAATCACCTTTCATTATTAGCTTCACCTTTTTCATTCATTTATGGTCTAATTTCGTAATCTTTAATAGTTCTTCTTTGCCAATGCATTAGTTAGAGTCCTGTATATGTTTTTATTCTGTCACACATCATACTCAATACCCCGTTCATTCTTTATTGAAGCAATTATTTGCATCCTGTGCTAATTTGTGTGTTATTGCATAGCAACTTCTACTTATTGTCAACTACAAGAGTTGGCATTACCTTCTGTTCCTCTAATAAATGTGCATTCTGTAAAATGTTTGAACTCCCGTAGGAATGCTTGGCGATTCTCTTCATATATCAATTTCTCATGTATATATCATTATCAAACAAGAACCTTCATGGATTAGTAGAGATTGGGTGGAATTTCCTACAACTAAATAGATTTTATTTTTCAACTTTTAATTCATATGCTCCTAAAATCCCTTTCCATTCCTTTTATTTTTTTTCTTCAGTTTTGTTAATTGTAAGGTGTCATTATGTAAGTAATTTACCACAGTATAACAGTTCGCCTTGTCCTTGACTCACAATTTGCCTCACTAATTGTTTCTCCCCATGTTAGTCCCTTCTGTACATGTTAGGTGAGTTGGTTGTGGGTTGTCTTATTATTGTTCAGGCAGGGAAGCATCTATTTCCATGATAATCTTAACTTTTTAATTTGAAACTTTCTGTTATGTTCTGAATAATTTCTTTATCTTTAATTTTTATATTAACAAATTGACCGCCATCATTTTACATGCTGTTGAGTGATTCCTTCCTTCTTCACCTTGTCTATCAAGTTGGGGTGCATTTTCCTACATTGAATAGTAGGCAGTATTTCATAAATTAGGTGGTTGGTGTGTGCCCTATTGTATTAGGACTCTGCGTGCATGCATACTATATGCCAAGGCTTCAGTTTTAAAACAGAATGATCTTGTTTCATAGGATGGGGTGGATATGAACTTGGCCAGCAAAATGATTCCACTAAGTGGGAATTATCATGTCTATGTGGCTTTTGAAGATGAAGCATAATTCTCCATCCCTCTGGGAAATCTTATTTCTTTTGAGATTAAAAACTTGAAATGGGTGTCCGTGTACTTGTCTTCCTTGTTTTGAAGGGTGACATTTGCACATTCTGGTTGCTGCTACATTCAAGAGTCTTTCTTCTTGTTTTGTCATATGCTGACCGTTTTTATAAACATAATCTGTAAAGAATCAATTCAACTCAAAAGCTTAAGCTATTGGGTGAGAGCTTCCTTAATGATGTATATTATACGCTAACATAATCTGTCAGCTGAAACTTTATATTTTAGTTATGACCGTAAGATTTTAAAGATACAAATGGGCAGAGGAGATTAAGTTGTGAGCATATCTCTGCTAGGTGCAGAAATTTTCTTTCTCACCAAAATATTTTCAAAACTTTCCTAGTGTCATGCACTTGGTGGTATTCTATGATATATTCATAACAGCGCAATTTGTTGTGTTTTTGTTCCCCAATTCTTCTGTCTTTGATATATGTGGAAACCTAGTACTTCCAATTTTCTCTATGATTCCATTACCTTGAAACTTGTTTATCTAGGCAAAGCATATGATATTTGATCCTCCTAGTCGCCCGCCAATTATTAGTTTATATGAAACTATTTGTCCAGTGTCTTATGCCATTAAAATTTCGCAACTTTTCTCAAACATAACATGCATGTGATATGGACAAAGCAGCAAATTTGCAGTTCTGATCTAACCTCCATATAATTAATAGTTTTCTCAAGTTCTGTGGTTCTCTGCCTTAATGTCCAACACTTGCTAGGAAGTTGAAGGCACATGGAAATTATGCAGAATGTGACTTCCGTCAATATTTTATCCTCTTATTTATTTATTTATATATATATATATATATATATATATATATATATATATATATATATTACCCCTCGGTTTATCGATACTCGACTAATTCTATTTGAGTCGGGTAAGACCACGTAGGAGGCAAAATCATCGCTATCAAGTTTTTAACACAACAGTATTTCCAGAGACTCAAACTTGAGACTACTGGTTAAAATGAAATAATCCCTTACTAGTTGATCCACGTGTTTGACGGTATATATTATGGAAAAAATATTTTTGGTTTTGTTGCTGAAATTTTTTTCTGTCACACTCACATAAAAGTAAGTGAGTCTTATTGTTAAGAGAAGATAAAGAAAAGATTAGAAGGACTCACTTACTTTTATGTGAGTGTGGCGGAGAATTTTTTTCTGTAACAAAAATAAAAATAATAAACCCATATATTATACTTTTTAGTGGTAACGTTTACATTTCTTTCTCCATTACATGATTATGTTGTTTGTTTTGATTTAAATATCATGTTGACGGCCCATGACCATGAGTGCTCCTTTACTCAATGTGAGCTCAAAATTTTTCTTTATATTGGTTGTATGCTTATTTGTTGGTCTTTGTCATTTGAGCCCTCTTTGCTTGGGTGCTGGTAGGATCCACATAAAATGGGCTTGTTTATCACCAAAAAATGTGTGATAAAATTCTTTACTTTTTACAGCAAGTCAGCAAAAGGCCAAAAGCACTGTATAAGGAACACTAGGGGGCATTTGGTACGAGAGTTTTTTCAGGATTTTCGGGAAACTGAATTTTTCTAAATTTTAAATTTTCGGATTTTATCGTAAACTGAATGTAAAAATTATATTTTTGAAAATTGAGATTCTCGGACAAAAAAAATTTCTCCTCTACCAAACGCTGCCTAAAAACATTAAAAAATAAAAAAGGTGATGCAATATAACACAACGGTAATCTTAAAGGAGTAGTGCAGTTCCTTTTTTTCCTTTGGTTTTTGAAAATTTTGTTTTGGATCCTAGTTTCTTTCTTTGCGATTCATCCTTTTCTTTTTAAATTTGTGGTGCAATGATAATGAATTATTCAGTTTTGTGTTTCTTTTAAGTGTATTCATTTCGTAATCCTACGATGTATAAAAAAAAATATCCTAGCCCGAATATGATGCTGTTGGCCCAACAAACTACAGAAGGTGCTGTCATTGTTTGGTCCCAACAAACTGCACATAATTGAATTTTCATTTTTTGTTGACAAATTGTTGAAGTTGATACATCTGACAAATATGCAAGCATTACTATTCTCTACATTAATTGAACTTAGTCTATCGTTTGCGTGACATCTTATTCTACACAAATTTAAAATTGAACAAAAGAACTCGATCTTTGATGACTTCGAAGTAGTTGCACCTTTTGGATTTATTTTGCATGCAAACTCTAATGTTTTACAATAATATTTCATATCATATAAATAGTTTTAAATTATATATAAAGGTATTAAAAATGTAAACTAGTTATTTAGTTGTATCATTTTTTTTACTTATAGATTAGTATATCAAATAACAATAATTACTTACATCCTTTTCAGATCACAGGTTAAGAGAGAATTATACTATAGTTATAAAAACCAAAAATTTAATATAAAAAATGAAGAAATATACGTAAATATGTATTTATCTTTCTTTTTTTAAAGAAGATATTTAACTGGCGGGTAAAAATCATGAAAGCCTGGGTCCGCAATAGAAACGTAGGATCTGATCAATTGAATGTTGACAGCCCAACCGTTGATATTAAAGTATGACCAGAATCTGTGCCTATCACTTACCATGCAAACATCCTTGTTCTATTTTTTTTTTGTCGTACATTTTTTTTTAGTACATTACATCCTTGTTCTTTACCCCTGCCCTTACCCACCAAACATTGGCAATAAAACAAAAAGTATATGGGTTTTATGTTTGTCATTTTAAATGATATAAGTTATATCATTTTACGAGAGAGATAGACACAGAGAATGAAAATCAAAGGAGAGAGAAAGTTGATGATTTTTTTTAATTTAAATTTTAAATAAAATAATAAAATTATGTGTCTATTTCTCTCTTAAGATGACGTAAATTTATGTCATTTAAAATGACAAACACTTTTACTAAAATATAAAAGATTTAAATTTAGGAAAAATTATTTGTAATTTTAAATGACATAAAATTATGTCATTTTAAGAGAGAGATATACGCAAAAAAATATTTTTTATTTAAAATTTAAATTAAAAAAAAATCACTTACTTGCTTCTAATAATTTTTCATTTTTTGTGTCTCTCTCTTCTAAAATGACATAATTTATATCATTTAAATGACAAACATGAAACCCATAAATTTAATCCGTAAGTGAAAAAAAAAAGATAAATATAAAGGGAACAATGTTTGTTTAGGGTAAATTTAATCCGTAAATGACATAAACTTATGTCCTTTTAAGGGAGAGACAGACACATAAATTTTTTTTATTTAAATTTTAAATTATAAAAAATCACGAACTTTCTCTCTCCCATAATTTTTATTTTTCTGTGTTTATCTCTCTATTAAAATGACATAACTTGTAACACCAAACCCAAATATAAAAGATAAAAAATAACTCAAACAAGTGAAATGACAATGATGTTGGGAGTTGTTTGGTTGTGGGGAGAGCGTAAACCAATGGCATTCCTGGAATTTCGGGGTTACGGGTATCAAATGAAATCAAAATTCAAAAAACAAAGGCTCAACGGCTAGTAGTGGGGGGAAAGCAGCGAGCGAGCCAGCCTGGGAAAGTTAAAAAATGCTGTCAAACCCACGTTTTAACCAGGGTCAGCTAGCCATAGTTAATTTCTAACCGTACATTTCAAATTTAGCCCTCTTTCTCTCTCTATATATCTCACACAATAAACCTTTAACACTCAAATTTCAAAGAGAGAAAGCGAGCGTCTTAATAAACGCCGCTTCATCTGTTTTAGCCTTTTTTATTCCCCTTTTCTCTAGGGTTTTTGTTTCTTTGATTTTCCCGAGAAAATGAGAGAATGCATTTCGATCCACATCGGTCAGGCCGGTATCCAGGTCGGAAATTCCTGCTGGGAACTCTACTGCCTCGAGCACGGCATTCAGGTATGGAGCAGAACTAGATCTAGATCTAGATCTACAACTAGGGTTCTTATTTTATTTTATTTTTTAATTTTGAATGTGTTTTTTTAGGGTTCTGAATCTGTGTTTGTTGTGCTTTTGGTTTTTAGCCCGATGGACAGATGCCAGGTGACAAGACCGTTGGTGGAGGAGACGATGCCTTCAACACATTCTTCAGCGAAACCGGTGCCGGAAAGCACGTGCCACGCGCCGTTTTCGTGGATCTGGAGCCCACCGTCATCGACGAAGTGAGAACCGGTACCTACCGCCAACTCTTCCACCCGGAGCAACTCATTAGCGGCAAAGAAGACGCTGCCAACAACTTCGCTCGTGGACATTATACCAGTTAGTGTTCCCTGTTTTCAGTTTTCACCCTTTATCATCATTTTTTCTTGTTTGAATTGAATTCTGATTGATTAATGTTTGTTGTTGTGGTACAGTTGGGAAGGAGATTGTTGATCTTTGCCTTGATAGAATCAGGAAGCTTGCTGATAATTGCACTGGTCTACAAGGTTTCTTGGTGTTCAATGCCGTGGGTGGTGGAACAGGTTCAGGCCTGGGTTCGCTTCTCTTGGAGCGTCTCTCTGTTGATTACGGCAAAAAGTCAAAGCTGGGTTTCACTGTTTTTCCCTCACCACAGGTTTCAACCTCTGTTGTTGAACCCTACAACAGCGTGCTTTCAACCCATTCACTCCTCGAACACACTGATGTCTCTGTACTTCTTGACAATGAAGCCATTTATGATATCTGCCGCCGCTCTCTTGACATTGAGCGCCCCACTTACACCAACCTCAACCGCCTTGTCTCGCAGGTAAAAAAAAAATAAAGAAAATTGAATCTTGATTTTGAACTTTTTAATTTTTGGTATTCAAATTCGATGTTGAAATTTCACTATTGAAATTTTGCAGGTGATTTCGTCCCTCACTGCCTCTTTGAGGTTCGATGGAGCACTGAATGTTGATGTAACCGAGTTCCAAACTAACTTGGTTCCCTATCCAAGGATCCATTTTATGCTTTCCTCTTATGCTCCTGTGATCTCTGCTGAGAAAGCATACCATGAGCAGCTTTCTGTTGCTGAGATTACCAACAGTGCTTTTGAACCATCTTCTATGATGGCCAAGTGTGACCCACGCCATGGCAAGTACATGGCTTGTTGTTTGATGTATCGTGGTGATGTTGTTCCCAAGGATGTGAATGCTGCTGTGGCTACCATCAAGACCAAGCGCACGATCCAGTTTGTGGATTGGTGTCCCACTGGGTTTAAGTGTGGTATCAATTATCAGCCTCCAACTGTTGTTCCTGGAGGTGATCTTGCCAAGGTGCAGAGGGCTGTGTGCATGATCTCTAATTCCACCAGTGTTGCTGAAGTGTTCTCCAGGATTGATCATAAGTTTGATCTTATGTATGCTAAGCGTGCTTTCGTGCACTGGTATGTTGGTGAGGGCATGGAAGAGGGTGAGTTCTCAGAGGCTCGTGAGGACCTTGCTGCTCTGGAGAAGGATTATGAGGAGGTTGGTCTTGAGTCTGGTGACGGAGAGGATGGTGAAGGAGAAGATGACTATTAGAATGGAAATGTTGAATATGCAGTATCGTGTGCGTGTTATGTACTTTTTCGTTTTCTTTGGGACAAAAATTTGTATGTTGTTTTTGGTTGCTGCTTGTGATCAATGTTTGTGCTCTTCATAGCACAAAAGTTTAATCTACATTTTCTACTTTACGTTTCCATAATTTTTCATCTGTGTCTCTTTGGGTGATGAGTTTGATATGTTCAATCTGATTTTATTATCTGTTGCCACAATCTTGCTGTGGTTCTCAATAGCCACAATTCACAATCCGCGAACATAGTTTTGACATAATTAACATGCATTTGAAATAAAGAAACCCTCCGTTGCCACAATTTATTATATGTTCAATCTGATTTTATTATCTGTTGCCATGATTTTTCATCTGTGTCTCTTTGGGTGACGAGTTTGATATGTTCAATCTGATTTTATTATCTGTTGCCACAATTTACTTGCTGTGGTTCTCAATAGCCACAATTCACAATCCGCGAACATAGTTTTGACATAATTAACATGCATTTTGAAATAAAGAAACCCTCCGTTGCCACAATTTATTATATGTTCAATCTGATTTTATTATCTGTTGCCACAATTTACTTGCTGTGGTTCTCAATAGCCACAATTCACAATCCGCGAACATAGTTTTGACATAATTAACATGCATTTTGAAATAAAGAAACCCTCCGTTGGGAATTTCAGTATTACTCATTAGACTAAAGGAGCGTTTATTTTAAAAATGAAATTATTGAAATGGACATGTAATTAAAAAATTAAATTAAAAAAATACTTAACGACGGAAAAATGAGGCTAGTAATTAGTCATTTGTTTTGAAATATTGGGAACCGAGAACACTTTCTCCTATTGCACAGATATTTTTATATTATTGTAAGAATAAGAAAATTTACACCAAATTTTGATTATTGATTTGTTAGCATTTAATGATTCACATATCTAATAAATAAAATTAACGACTAAGATTGAGAGTGTAACATGAAATTGTATGATTGTTAATTTCAGCTATATCAAATTATTCTAATTTTTTAATTATGTGATGAACCATTTTGAAATAAAGAAACCCTCCGTTGGGAATTTCAGTATTACTCATTAGACTAAAGGAGCGTTTATTTTAAAAATGAAATTATTGAAATGGACATGTAATTAAAAAATTAAATTAAAAAAATACTTAACGACGGAAAAATGAGGCTAGTAATTAGTCATTTGTTTTGAAATATTGGGAACCGAGAACACTTTCTCCTATTGCACAGATATTTTTATATTATTGTAAGAATAAGAAAATTTACACCAAATTTTGATTATTGATTTGTTAGCATTTAATGATTCACATATCTAATAAATAAAATTAACGACTAAGATTGAGAGTGTAACATGAAATTGTATGATTGTTAATTTCAGCTATATCAAATTATTCTAATTTTTTAATTATGTGATGAACCATTATAAATACAAGTGAACAATAGCCAAAATCACGTGTAAGACTTCATTTCGAAAGAAAATCAGAATACATGACTAATTATTAGCACACCTAAACAAATTGATTAGCCAGGCAAATTCTTTTATGTACATTGGTGAAAATGAGCAAGCATCTTATAAATGATGGTTGTTGTACGACTCTAAACCTCAAATTCCCTCGATATCATGAGGTCGTAGGAGTGTAAATGGTGCAGAAACATAGAATCAGTTATAATAATCAGATAATAAACTATATAAATATAAAATGTTGTATGGGTATAGCATCATTCTACCAATTATATTTGTACTTTGATGAAGTGGGGGATTAAAAATAGCACTTAAATGTTTATCATTCTTCGTTTTAGGCAAATATAAAAAATATATACCATCGCATCTTTCTCTTGCGAGAACGACAGAATAGTGTGAGAAAGAATTTTAACTTCTACAGGAACACCTCAGTGAAAGAACAAACGAACCTCTTGTCGTTTAAAGCATTATGAAGGCAAAATGACCAATCATTACTTTCATAATAGAGATTTTTTAAAATTTAGAGGGGCATGTGCCATGGATCCGTGCATGTTAGCAGCCACAGAAACATAATTTGATAAATTTTTTGACTTTCATACTTCAAAGTAATGCTTAAATTTTTGTAATCACTTTATTTCATTTACAGCCTGACACAAGGTAGATGAAGCATCTGTCGTTTGCATCAATGAGTTCAGAGCAAAGTAGCAAGTTTAATATATTTCAACAGCGTCCAAGCTTTTGGACAAGACTATTCTCTATCTCAATTCTCTTTTTCATGAAAGAAGCATACTTAGAAACCAGCTCCGAATCTCCAGCATTCACTGAAAGTTTGCAGCTCAGAGAAGTTTTTTCCAATTTGTCCATGTACATATCAGATATGGGTATAAAACCACCCTTCTTGTTGCAGAGCCAGCCATGTGCAGCTCTCAATGCAGCTCCAAGAGAAGCTGAATCTGTTACCAAGTTTAATAATTTTTTATTTAATTAGTTGAGTTTATTGCTTACAAATAAGAATAATAACAACAAAATCCATCATTTATATGATTAAAAAATAGGTTGCAGTGGAAATATGTATATACATAAATTAGAAAAAAAAACAAAAAGACGAGCTACCTTGTTTCGCTTAAAATGTAGTGTAAACTTCAAACTCAAAAACTCATGGTCAACTTTAGTTTAAAGAAAAGTAGATATTTTTTTGTTCATATTTCATTATAGGAATCTATAAAAGGGTTAAGACAGAACTTAGAGGTATCTAAACGTTAACATAGTAACATATAATGTTTCATAATGAGATTGTCAATTTTTGCTTACCAGGTCTTTCAACTGTATAGACATCACAGCCAAAAATTGAAGCTATTGAGCTAAGGATGCAATGATTTGCTGATGCTCCACCAGTGGCTATGATTCTCTTTGGAGGAGAAGGCATGCCAAATCTTTCAGCATGAGCTCGCATTGAGAGAAATTGACCCTCAATTAATGACCGTACCTGTAATTTAGCTTATTGGTCAATGGAAATGATTTTATGTAGGATTTCAACTACCCTGATGAATTGACATGCATTTCCTAACCTCAGATGGAGGATCAAACTCTTCTACTTCCCGTTCCTTCGCTCCATTCAGTGAATTTTCTGAGAAATTTTCTATAGCATAGCGGTGGAAACCAACTGGGACCATTAAAAACTTGTTAGTAACTTCTTAAGTAAAGCAAAGTCAATTTATTATTCAGTACAAGTAATTTAGTAGGTGCGAAAATTAAATAGCCACCTGGAAGAGGAGGCAGAATTTCATGCTCCTTGTAATAGAAACCAAACTTTCCACCTATTAACAAAAAAATTGTTAGAATGGAGAATGGATAACGTACAAGGAGTTTTGTGATACCCACCATTTAAAGGTTGTGTTTGCTGCAGAAATTTATTGAAGACATCCCAAGATTTCTCTGCATAACGGTTGCGCACATCTGACATTTGAGATGGGGAAAAGAGTTAGAAACTACAAGAACCATTTATATGGTTGTATATGCGAACAAACAATACATGTATCAGACAAGAGCAATGACAGAGTACCTTCTCGGGTAAGGGATCCATTTTTGTATACCAGCATTACCATGTAGCCTTCGGCATCAACTGGACTAGGGAAGACATGTCCTTCTAATCCTGGATTAGGATCTTTAGTGATCATAAATACCTGAGGGATAAGCCAGAATGTATTATGAGTAAAAGTGTGTTAGTTTAAATTTTTTAAAAAATAGCTTCTATACTAATACGAAAAGCATATAGTGGGATTTAATTATAAAATAGTTACTATTCTTCCATTGGCAGCAAATGCAGCTGCTGTCATTTCCTAGTTTTCCACTAAGAAATTAGGACAGATCAACAGAGGTAAGGTAACTTAACACTATGTATGTATCTTAACCTACAGTGTCACTAGTGCCGAGGCTGATGGCGAGATCTCCAGGAATATTTAGGGTCAAACCTGCATATATCCAAAATTGTTAATTTTTTTAGACGCGCAGGGGAAAATATAGGCAATATAAATATTTTTCAGATGAAGATGGCAGAGCAGCAACAGTACAGGAATTAAGTTTTGGGTTTTTGATTTTCCCTGGGTGGTTGGGGATGATTTTCATCATTTAATCTTTGAGAAAAGTATATAATTAGATCCCACTAGAAAGAATATAAAAAATCAGAGATAAATGACAGAATATGTTAATGAAGAAATTATGGCACCTGCCACACTATTAGGATTGTCTCCTGACCACTGAACAACCAAGCAGTTCTTGTTAAAGTGATACCTAACAGGAACAAATAAACTTCAGCCATCAATCTAAGTATTTTGATGTAGCTCATGCAACAAATAAGTAGACAAATAACCATAGCAGTTTTATATTTGAATTTAAACAAATATTTCCCCGTACACTTAATATGTCATAAGACAACAAAGACCAAGTCAGCCAGCAAGTGGGTGTGAAGAAATTTTATATCTTTATAATACAACATTTGTCTAAAGTTTTTGCAGACAGCTATGATACAGATAGCTTCGTAGAAAACAACAGAAAATGCAGATTATAAAGAATTATATTTAACCAAAAATTACATCCAAGCCACACCATGTAGGAGATAATTAGAGTAGCCTGCATTTGGTTGGCAATTGTTGCAATTTTGCGAATGGGAAATATTTAATTAACAACGTATCCGTACTCATTTCAAATTTCAAATGACGCTATTTCTCTTTGTATAATTCAACATCAACTCCAGCTGACAATATTTGGTACTCTAATTCTCTGTTATACGCTACATAGGTTTTGATTTGTTGTGAATCTAGATAGGGAACTACAAAATTCATTGGACACTGATAGAATGCCATACAGAATGTAACAAACTTTCTGCTATTTAGCAAAACATAGGATAATTTTCGTTTGCATTCCAAAAAAGAGAAATAAAAAAAAAAAAAAGTGTGCAACAAACCTTTCTACAAAATATGGAGCAATATTTCCAGCAACGGCATATGCAGGGGCTAACTCTCCAAGTTTTGACTCCAAACCAGGGGCAGTTGCCTGCAACAACCATCAGAATTCAAATATATTGATAGAACAGGAACTTAATAACACTAGTCACTAATCCCATGGCCATACTTGGAGATGAATCAAAAACCAATTCAATAAGAGTTGAGGGTAAGGTAATAGGAATAAAAACCTCTAGTGCAACTTTAGACCAGGCCTTTCCCTTTATGTCCATTAAATTCATGCCTCCACCATCAGAATGATCAATAGCAGCATAAGCACCAATCAAAAGGGATGCCATGAAGGAGCTAACAAGAGAGATCCTTTCAGTGTTGTTATAAATTTCTGGCTGGAGATCAAATATTTTCTTAATCTGGGGGCCAGTAAATCTTTCATATGCACGGGATCCAGTTACTCTAGCCAATTCCATGGCCCCCCCACAAGCTTTCTCTATTTCCCTACATTGAGCAGTGGTGCTACAATCCATCCATATTGGTGATTCCTTTATGGAAAAAGCATTTTGAAGCTGATCCAACAATGGCTTCTTAGATTCCAATGATGATAATATCTGAGAACTACCAGTCTTCCAATACACACTACCATGTTGCTGTCCACTACCAGAAACAGTAGCAATCTTGGAAAAATCCAAATTTGATTTGGAGAGCTTTTGAAGCATGAGGTCAAGAGCTTCCACCCACATCAAAGTGGGTGAAACAATTCTGCCATTGCCAGAAGGGTCTCTGTATACCCCATCTTTAGTCTTGTAATGGGGCAACTCAGAATCAAAGTGAACAATCTCAGATGCCACTATGTTGAGGTTGGAGTTCAACACAGTTGCTTTTAACGACCTACGAACAAATAAAAATTGAAACTTTAATTTTCCAAGCAATTTCAAATTTCAGATTACATCAAATAAAAACTGAAATTGGCGATGCAATTATGGAATACAATACTTACTGGGTAGAACTATCAAATCCTAGAAAGTAAGAGTCCTGAGGAAGAGAGAATTCGGCCATTGTAGCAAAGCACGATACTGCAACGATGAGAGATTGTGCTAAATTTCGAAATATAAGAACAATTTCGTCGCCATACAATTATCTATAAATAACTTTTACAGCGTTGATTTTGGATTGGATGAGAACGAATTGTTTGGATAAAGATCGCAAAGGTTAGACTTAGCTGTAAACTTAACGTTCATGTTCCTGATTTTCACTAGCTCTACGCTACATAAATGTTATTTCATTTTCTAATAAAAATTAATATTAGAAAGTTAATATCTTCTACTGATAGATAGATTTTTAAAAATATTAATATCACATGAATTGGAATAACTATATAAATTCTTTATTAAATGATATTTTTATCAAAAATATTTATTTTATTTTATTTAATATTATATAATGCATTATCAAATATCGGACAATATTATCTTATAGTATTATAAAATTTATTATCTTATATAATATTATATCAAAAGTGGAATAACATTAATATTTAATCAGGTCTTATACAATCAGAGATTATATTATAAAAATTCTTTTATTCTATGTACGTAAGAGTCAATATTTTTTTTTTCCTCTTCTCTTTTGAAAGTTATCCCCAACTAATACGAAAAAATAATGTTATATTTATAAATTTTTTATTTATAAATTTTTAATAAAATTATATCATTTAAAATAAAAATACATTTTCCATTATTAATATTATAATCCCTCACATTAACCGAACTTTACTTCTTTTTTTTTATAGCCACCGAACTCTTACTTTTATAACATAACAAAGTGCCAAAGTTAATTTATTTGTTCAAAGAAGATGTTCAACGTTGGCGTTGCCAACACTGCTATCTGTTGAATAATAATTTTTATTTTTATTTTTAACATAAAGATTAACTTATTTTCTAGAGGAAGAAATCATAGATTAAACTTTAAATATTTTGCTACAGTATAAAGGTTATTAATAATTAATATAATAGTTGAATATATAAATTTAATTTTAAAATAATGTGTTAAATTAACAAATAATCATATGAAAAAATGTAGAAATATTTTATAATTTATGACAGTTTCAAATTTATTGACATTTTAAAAAAATTCAAAATATTAAAATATAATTTTTTTATTATTTTTATAAAGACCAAGTTTTTTATTTAGTTACATATCATAATTTGAAATCAGAACTCCAATGTCTATACTCTTATATTTATATTTTTTTCAGTTCATTTTCAAAAACGATTTATTCGTTATCAAAGTGAGAATACTACTGTATGCTATCAGGGTTTCAGGATTTAGAATCTTCAATGGTGAACTTTTAACTCTGACTTTTTTTTTTTTGGTAGTCTAACTCAGTGACTTAACAAGCACAGTGACTTAACAAGCACATAATCATTGTTGTTAAAAATTAGTGTAAAAATATAAAAATTTATGTTTTTACGTTTTTAATAGAGTGGTGTGTGTTAAAAAGCAACTAAAAACGGTCTTTGATAAAAACTGGTAAAAACGTCGCGTAAAAACGTAAAAGCGATAAAAACTTATGTTTTTACCGTTTTGACCGTTTATACTTAAAACAAAAAAAAATTAAAAAAAAAGAAATTAAAAAAACCATATTTTCATTTTTCTCAAATCATATGCACATTATCTTGGTATCTTTTTGTTTGGATATATGTCTTTTATAATTATGTCTTGTAAAACTGCAAATCTATTATAAGTTATGCTATGAGAAACGTTTTGTGTTTTTCGATTATTGTGTGCATCGAAAAAAGTGAAATTATATCCTGATGAGTGATGGTCCAAAATCTGCAGAGTGTATAAAGCAGTTAGAGCAGATTGGTTATCCATTACTTGTTAGTTATCACTGTTTATAATTTTACTACTTTGGTTATAAAAAATAATTTTCCTTTTTAGATAGATAAGTGGCTCAACACATATGTTCATTATGTGATTTTTTTTACATACATATATATAATTTTGTATCTTGACCTTAAATATTAAAAAATAAAAATTTTACGTTTCGTGTCGTTTCTACGTTTTACGTTTATAAGTTCTGACATCCCTTTCCGTTTCTACGTATAAACTTGAGTTAACATTGCACATAACAACACATTTGATTCACGGATTACCAAAGCAAAAGATAAATTCTCAACATTACCAAGGCATCTTCAATAATTTTGGATAAAGAAATGATACAACAACTAGAAAAGTCAGAATCCAATTAGGTAGTGTTTGGTTGGGAGCTTTTCAGCAGATATCTATCTTTCTCAAGTATGGCTTTTAAAAATACCATGTTTGTTTCAACGTTTTTCACCAAAAACCCATCTATCCAATTTGTCTGGATTTATGAGAAACATAGATCCGCACTGTTTAGAAACCCAATTTGAAGGTGGGATTTTTCGAAAAACCGATTATCTGGCTTTTAATGCACTGTTGATTTCATAAAGCTACCTAATTTTCTCAGTAAAGTTTTTCCCCACCAAACAATTTTTTTTTACATTTTTCTACCTATTTCACTTTATCTATCTTTCCAATCATTTCTCTATCTATTTCATTTCCCTACTATTCCAAAAAAATTTCCTGAACCAAATGCCCATTAAAGTAAAAGAGGCTTTCCTCATTTCAGAATTAGGATAAATCATCAAACTTCAGTAAAAATTTACAATAAAATTTGAGATCGCCTGCCTACAAAGATTCAATGATTTAAACCCTAGTCAAGCAGTCTGTGATCAAGTGAGCCAACCCAAGTTGGCTTAAAGGCTTTGATATTAATTGCGTAAAAGCATTAACATTAAATATGTAGTGATCTACCTAACCTAAAATATTACATCACTATATTTCCTTGGCCCTCCCTAAAGTCATGTATACAACTGTTTTCCAAATCAACATCTTGAAGGCAACTAAATATACAACTCAGACGTCTATATGCACCTGCCAACCCATTATTTGAATGCAGAGAAGGCAAATAATGTGTAGCAACTGAAATCTGAGCAATCTTAGTCTCTGAAGCTAATCCTAATACATGGGTGAGAACTTATGGCTGAAGGCTTTGAAACACCTGAATGCAGAGAAGGCAAATCACAGCAGCTGCTATCGAAATAAATCAGGGAAAGACCACATTATGAACCTCGCAAAAATGTCAGAATCCAGAAATTCAACATGTGCAGCCCGCCCAATGTATGAATCCAAATTCTTGCCATAGGCAGAGGCATCAAAGTTGACATCACAGCGCATGAAAACTCGACGATGGGAGGGGTTGGCACGGATTTGGTCCAAACAATCATTCAGCATCTCTAGGAACAGTTTACCCTTCTTTGAAGTGTCATGTGAAGCAGCCTGGCATGATTCAATTCTAGCAGAATGGTAAGGTACATAACCATCCTGAAAAATGCTTTATCAGTTAACAGCAAACCAAATAAATTCTAAGTAAAAGCTAACGTGTCACAAGGAAAGAGAAATTGCAGCACAGAAAAGCAAGGAAAAAAGGTTAAAAGGGAAGGAAACATCACTTCCTTAAGAATAATGCGTTACCATACTGTACCTCACAATTTTAACATTTCACTGGATTTAATTAGGAAAGATAAAATACTTCTCCCATGCTTCAAAATCATAGTTCTTTTGAAGACAATCAAATCTATCTGCCAGCATAAAGTAAGGCTAACAAAATGAAAAACTTCAAAAGCTTGTTTGGGCAGTTTGGATTCAGATGCGCCAAGAGCACAAGACTCTATAAATTTACATTATTATGTAATAGAAGACCTTCTTCACATGCAAATTAATATGTTTTACGATCGATAGTTACGATTCCAATTTTATATAGACCCATATTAAATTCATGATGATGCTTATGTATAACAACCCAATTGCTAAAAGAGTAACAGTAAATAACATTCTAAAAAATGATTTTACGAATCATAAGAGAAGGTAATACCTGAGGGGAAGATAGCAGTATAATATTCCTAAAATGTTCCAAGGTCTTCTGCTGAAAAAAGAAAGAAAGCAAAGGAAAGAACTCTATTAGAAGCTCATCAAAGTAAATAATTCCATATAATATATATGGATGATTCATGCCTTGGAGGGAAAAGTATATAGAACCCTCTTCAACTTTGGGTTTTGGCAAAGCAACACCTCAATTTTCAATTTCAGAAATGAACACCCCACAACTTCGAGTTAAATCTTATTAGCCGCTTCCATCCATTTTTTATTATCCATCCATCTTTACTACCATCCTTGCCCTTATATTTTTTAGTTGAATAATTCAATACCAAAAATAGCTATTATGCACCAACACAAAGTAACCATTGAAACATTTGTCAAAGACACAGGCCTTACCATATTAAAATTTGAGGGGTTCTATTCATTTTTTCCCTAAAATAACAGTGCGTTCAAATGGAAACAGAAAAGATGGGAATAAAACCAACCTAAGTTTATACCATTGATTACATTTTATAGAATATTGTTCTAAATAGAGTAGTATGGAGTAGTTTAGTGTGAGGGACGAAGTCCCACATCATGTATATATTTTTGTAAGTGCTTTTCATTCAATTATATAATGAAGCTTCCGTTGTGTAGTTGAAACACACAGATTCCAATATATGCTTCTCAGGTTATGATATTTAACATGGTATCTAGGGCCTAACAAGAGGAACCTAATTCGTGCCTTTTTGGTGGGCCCATTGTCCACTGAGTAAATTTTTTTCCGAAAACTGCCACGTCCATCAGTTTCCGGCCTTAGTCCTTCTCCAATAGCCGACCAAGAGCCTTTGACTAGCGTTAACCATTGTTGACCAGTGACTTTTCCAGAGTTTACCAGTGACTTTTACGTGTTTACAGACAATTTTTTCGGCACATGTCTGTCTCTTCAGCTTACCCAATAGCTAGATCTGGTCCTTTTGCCCTTCCTGGGGTTGTCTTAACACCAATGGCTTCCAACACCACTGCTTCTGTTGTGCACACGGGTAATAATTTGACTGGCTTAATTCCAACTCCATCTCTTGGTAATAAGTCTTTATTCTCTTTTCTTTCTACATCTGGTTACTTACCTAAATTTACTATGGCTAATGGTTCCCAAGCATAGTAGTTAATTGCTTCGCAATAGCGCCGTATGGGCGTTGTGGTGCCTTGCGGCAAGAAACCGCGCCACGTCACACCGAAACGCAATAGCGGCCATTGCGATCGCATTCGAGGCCAAATTGTGACCATATTGCTGTCATAAGGCAAAATGTCAATTTTATCCTAAATTTAAATGTGTAACAGAAAATTTTTAAGGGTTTTTTAGTCTATCTGCGTCTCTCTCTGCCACTTATGCTATCTTTGTCTTTAAAAAATCTTTCTTTTTGTCATTATTTCTGTCATATATCTATTCCGCTATTTTCGCAACCGCAACCCGCTATAGCGCTATAGCATTTTTCGGGGTTGGCCGCGACATGCCGCAATCCGCATTTGATAACTTTGTTCCCAAGTACAGTCTTGTGGGGTTGGAACTGTCCATCTCTTTCCCTCATTCTATTAATAATGTATTTTATGTCCTTGCTTCCCCCTTTAATCTTATATCCATTAGTTGATTAACTCGTTCTATGATTGTCTCGTATCTTTTACCAAAGACTATGTTGTTTTAAAGGATCAAGGTTCGGGGAGGACTATTGGTGTCGGGTATGAGTGTAATGAGGCTTTATCTCATTCAGGATGAAGACAAGCTATGATTGATGAAATGTGTGCCCTTCAGAGGAGTGGTACTTGGGATCTGGTTCCCTTTTCCTTTGGGAAGTATGTTATTTGGTTGCAGATGAATATACACTGTCAAAGTTGGTTCTAATGGTCAGGTGGACCGTCTCAAGGCTCGGTTGGTAATTAAGGGATATACTAAGGTGTTTGGCCTAAATAATGGAGACATGTTCTCCCCAGTGACAAAAATGACCTCTGTTCGCCTTTTTTTTACTATGGCTATTATCTGTCATTGACTTTTTTATCAACTGGATGTCAAGAATGCTTTCCTCCATGGTGATCTTGCGAAAAAAAATTATATGGAGCAACCTCCTAGGTTTATTGCTCAGGGGAGTCTGGCCTAGTTTGTTGTCTTTGTAAGTCCCAATATGGTCTTAAGCAGTCTCCATAGACTTGGTTTGGAAGATTTAGCATTGTTGTACAACAGTTTGGCATGACTTGGAGTGAAACCGATCACTTAATACTCTATCGCCACTCTATTTCAGGATCTATTTATTTGGTGGTGTATATTGACATTACTCAGGTAAAACATCTCTACCATATTTTTAGACAAAAGACCTTGGAAGAGTCAAGTATTTCTTAGGGATAGAGATGACCCAATCCAATGATGGTATTGTGTTGTCCCAAATGAAATATGCTATCGACATTCTTGACGAGACAACTTTATTAAATGCTAAGCCAGTTGACACTCTTATGGATCCAAATGTCAAGCTTATGCCAAATCAGGGGAAGCCATTCTTAGATCCAAAAAGGTATAGAAGATTTGTTGGAAAGATAAACTACAGTCACTCAACCAAACATCTCGTTTGTTGTCAGTGTGGTAAGTCAGTTCCTGAATTCTTCTTGTGAAGATCATTGGAATGCAGTGATTTATATTATCAAGTACATCACGATAGCTCCAGGAAAATGTCTCTTCTATGGAGACAATGGTTATACCCTGGTTATGGGGTACTCAGATGCTGATCGGGCAGCCTCATTAACAGGAGATCCACCTCTGGGTTTTGTGTATTTGTTGGAGATAATTTAGTATATTGGAAAAGCAAGAAACATAGTATAGTTGCCAGATCGAGTGCTGAAGCAAAGTATCATTCCATGGCCACAGTAACTTGTGAACTCATCTGGCTAAAACAACTACTCAAGGAGCTCAAGTTTGGAGACACTGAACCAATAACTCTCATTTGCAATGATCAAGTTGCTTTGCATATTGCTTCCAATGCAGTGTTTTATGAAAGGACAAAGTACATTGAGATAGATTGTCATTTCGTCAGAGAAAAGATTCTCTTGGGAGATATCGTCACATTTTGTTAACTCAAATGATCAACTGGCTGATGTTTCACTGAGTCAGAGGTCCTCAAATAGATTACATATGTAACAAGCTTGGTACATATGATTTATATACTCCAACTTGAGCAGGAGTATTGTAAATATAGTTTAGTGTCAGGGACGAAGTTCCACATTATGTATATTTCTGTGTAATTAATTTTCATTCAGTTATATAACAGAGCCTCCATTGTGTAGTTGAAACACGCGAATTTCAGTATATGTCTCTCAGGTATTCAACAAATACATATCTGAATAAGTTACCATTGGCTTAGAACAATTCAACATGCAAATCATACATATCAGATTTTAAAAACCACATCAACATTACTTATCATTTTCAAATACAATGAAAACATTGGAAATGCAGATAATATTCAATAACTCCAATTTGACACCAAAATTAGCATGCAAGATCAAGCATAATAAGTGCTTATACATAATGTTATTCATGAAAACAAGACTTTGAGCTCATGCCTGTGTCATTTTATCCAAACCTTTGTAGGACACCTTACCTACCTTACACAGTTTATAAAGGAACGTATTTTGGAAATCTGGATCATCTGTGAAGGTGAGCTGATGAATGCACTGTGTGCCTTTTAGCTTCTTCAAAAACCACAATCCAGAATTAAACAATGAGTTTGAACTATAAAGATATCCCAAGTGTGGACCAGATACTGAAACATATGTATGTAGGTGTCTTAGAAATGGCTCCATCATGCTATCTGCAAACACAAGACAAAGTTTAGCACAAAATTCAAACTGATGTACAGCACCGCTCCTAGCTGACCTACCTGCTATTGCTGTTCTTATGATGAGGTTACCAATGGAATGTCCAACAAAACTTAGCCTAATATCTCCCAAATTCCCATATCTTGATGCTTTGTCCATTTTGCTTTTAAGAAAGGAAATAACTTCCTGAGCTAGCCTATGTCCCATTTCTCTGAAGTCTTCAGAAGTTTTATCTTCATTAACCTCTGACATAAGAAATTCTATCGTGGGATCTATCAAAAGCCATTGATTCCGGACAAGTCGTAGATCCAGATGATGCCCCTAAAACATTTTAAACGATGAAGAATAAGGAGTCAATCAACTTTTTAACCAGATACTGAACAAAATATGGATTTAGTTCATCAATATTTTTCTACAATCTGGATGTAGCTCAAATGAGAATAAAACATCTGATGTCCATGATATATCCCGTCCTATGTTTTCATTTTTATCATTATTTTTTTTTTAAAAGACATTCAATAAAAAAAACACGAGAGTAAACAAATCAAGCATTTCCAAACAGCAAAGTGCTGCTCCATCTGGGCTCAGTTTATGTCAGCTCAACCATACCACAAGCATATTAGTGATCACCGACTTTAGTATACTTGGGCCAAAAAATTAGAAGACTTCACATTCAAAAATTAGAGGAGGGATATTCTTACTACCAAAATTTTCTACTACCAACTCACTACCTATCTAATCACCATTGGATCAACATTTTCTCTTTTTTCAATTTTTTTTTAGCATTCTCTTTCTTTGATTCAATGGTGATTAGATAGGTAGTAAGTTAGTAGTAGAAAATTTTAGTAGTAAGAATATCCTCCCTCCAAAAATTATATTTCTTATTTTACATTTTTCATGCATGTAAACGACAGTGGCAATGGCAATTAACTTGCATTCTTTTATTTTCAGCAAAAGTTTGAGAGATAAATTAAGGGTACCATGGCATGAGTTTAATTTAATTCATTTTTTAAATGAAAACACTTTAATTCAACTATCTGGAAAAAAGAGAGAGTTAAGAGTCACCTATCGTCTTAAATAATTTAATTTCAGTTTTTAAAATTAATATTGTATATAAAGATATATCTAATAAATTGATCACGTTGAACAGAGTTTACCATATCACTGTATTTTGTAACCAGGAAAAAAAAAATATCTCACGAAATATCTTCGTTATTGTAAAGAACCAATTCAACCCAAAAGTTTAAGCTATTAGGTGAGGCTACATTAATGAATTTATACTTCTTTAACACGTTCTCTCACACCAGAGCCCACTGGACATGAAGGGTGGATAATGCACAGGCCCACCTATGTGTGCTAAAAAATTTCATATGAGAAAGTGGGGGGCAGTGAGGATTGAACCCATGAGTGAGGATTGAACCCATGACACCGAGACTCTGATACAATGTAAAGAATCAATTCAACCCAAAAGCTTAAGCTATTAGGTGAGACTACATTAATGATTTTATACTTCTCTAACAGTTATATATCTCATTTTACGCTTGAAAGTTCTCTTGTGAGCTTGCTAGCTATTATGTAGAATAGCTCAAATCCACATTTCAAAGTTAAACTTAAGCTCAAGTTTGAGTTCATAAAAAATCGAGCAAGTTGAGCCTCTCGTATCCCTCATATTTGTGCATTCAGAGTTGTTAAAGAATTATAGGTTTAGGTTTAAGGTAAAAGGAAAATAGAGAGATGGCTAACAATAATAAATTGAAATATATTATTGATAAGATGTAATGTCGTAGAATAACCTAATCCTCCTTTTTATATTACTAATTAGGTCTAGTGCTAGTATCACTAGTACAAGCCCAAGCTCACTAACAATAAAACTAAAGGCTATTAAAATAAGAAAACAGATCAAGAAAGATAGTCTAAGATAATCTAAATATATCTTAAATATTGTCTAACCCTCTCATAGAACTGGATCATAACATAGAAAACAGTGTTTATTGACAGAAACCTGTGTGTCAATATTAATGAGATACAAGATCAAAGATAAGGAAATGAAGATACAAAGAGAATACAGAATAAAGATGCACTATCCTTTCTATTCCAGGTATTCGAGAGACAACCTAGACTCCCCCCAACTCCCTCTCTCAATCAATCAATAACTGCCCTAACTAACTCCCCATCACCCCCCTTTATTCCTAATAACCCTGCGGCTCTTAACTCTTTGCTAAACATATTCGGGTCCCAGTCCCCATCTCCGCTTTCTAATTACAGGACAGTCAGGGCATAAAGCACTAGGTTAAAGGTAAAAAGGAACACGATTGTGCTTGTCCAATGCCACAAACAACAATCTTGGAACCATCAGCTAGGGTAATTAGAGTTAAATTGTTTGACTAGGTAAGAGATGTGAGAAGATCCTTATTACCACAAAGATGATTGGAAACACCGGAGTCAATTATCCACAGTCCAAGAGATGGTTGAGAGTAAGGGTGCTAAACGAGTCAGGGGCCTTTGGCTCGGCTCGTGAAGGCCTGAGCTTACATGTCTAAAATTGATTGTTGGACCCAGGCTTGGACTTGTATAAAAGCTCGTTTAATAAAAAGGCCTCAGGCTCTAATTCAAAAGCTCGGCCTTAGAGCCTCTCAGGCTTGCCTAATATATTATTTTTTTATTTATTTTTTTATTTTTTATACTACTTGTGATAGCCCTCTCTCTTCTCAATTCATTTCATCCCATTTTATTAATTAAACAGACTTTTTAAATGATTTTGTTTTATATTATGTTATTTGGATATACATTAAATTTATGAGTATTTATGGAATTACTAGTGCTGTTGATTGTATATTTTGTTTGGATAAATTTTTGTTGTCTTATTTTTTTTAAACAGGCTAAACAAGACTTTTATTTTTTGTAAATGAGCCAGGCCACAAGCTGATATTATATTCGTAACAGGTAACAGGCTAAGGCTAGTCTGACACATTTGAACACAGGCTCGGCCCGTTAAGACCAAAGCTCGGCTCGGCTCGGCTCGGCTCGTTAACACCCCTAGTTGAGAGATACAAGCAATAGGATTACCGGTTCATGAAAAGACGTTAAGTCGAAGAAGAGCTTCATAGTCTGCACTTGGAATAGTCACACTAAGGGCAGAGGATGCTGGCTCCTTGTGAGTAAGATTAGCAAAGGTAGGCTAGCCATATTTTGGCCTGTAGCGTGCCTCCAAATGTCCCAATTTATGACAGAAAGAGCATCAAAAGTTTGTTGCCACCACGACCATAGTTACTACCGCATAAGAAGAGATTGCAATCTCCCATTGCGACTTTCAAGATGAGAGAAAACATGCTAGAAAGTTTCAAAAGTCTGGAAAAAAAAAGAGACAAGACTTACAAAACACACCAAAAAGTGGCTGAAAAACACCGGAGGGGAGAAAGAAAAATCTGCGAAAAGGGACCAAACAATGGTGATTCGTCGGAATATTCGAAACGGCCTTGACCAACAACAAACAGAGACCAAATGTAGAAAGGGTTTGAGACTTCAAGAAAACATCAAAAACACCTTAAGATTGAGAAGTCACCTGAAAATGATGAACAAAGAGCACCCACGACCGGAAAAGTCCAGATGTGGACAGATAGAGCCCGACAAAAAGTTGCTAGAAAAGTAACTAACGACGGGTGACAGCCAATTAAAGGTTGCTAGAAGGACATGTGGTAGAGAAGGAAGGTTGCCAGTATGAAGCGCAGCAAGGGGTGATGATAGTTGTTGCGCAGTGCACAATAGAATTAGGGTTTTGTGGAAGCAAGATTTCTCATAACGTAAGCTCTGGTACCAACTTGAAATTGAGAAATTGTGTGTATATTGTGACCACACATTGATTATATTTATATCAATAATTAAGCTTGAGCCCTATTTACATGATGTAGGACTAATAACACAAAATCGATGCATATACATTCTAACAAACACCAATCTAAGGTGGCTCTACCTCGATGATAGTTGTTTCCTCCAAGGATAAGCCAACTAAAAAAGTGTGGCTCCATCTCTACCTTATTGATATCTCCTTGGTTCTCACATAATGACAACACCAAACGGGCAGCCCTTTCCTCCCAACTCAAACATAACAAGATGCTCAAAGGTTGTTAACCATGTTAATAACCACAACTAGATGAATATAAAGTAATAACATAAGGGAAAGAGAAGCAATGACGGATACGTCACAGAGGATGGGAGCAGGCTCTAATACCATATTGGAATTATAGGGATTTAGGTATAAAGGGAAAAAAAGGAATATAGACTATAATGGGATACAATATGATATGAAGTAATTGATTGATTACAAATGACAAAGTATTAATCCCTATTTGTACTAAATAAGGGAGTCTTAAAACAATGAAACAAATCATAAAATATAAGGAAATAGAAAACTAATCCTATGAGATCCTCTAGAATACTCTAAACTATATTAAGATATAATCTTAATATCATACGATATCATCTAGATATTCTAGCATATGTAATGTCACGTGATTTGTTAACTTAATACTTTTCTTTATATGACTAATTAAGTTATAGTTTTATTAATACAAGATTGAGATTACTAAAATAAAAAATAAAAAACAAATAAAAAGGATATTTAAGTTAATATAAATATATCTTAAATATTCCTATGTGTTGAACCCAATTAGTTTGGGGGGACAGAATCATTTGACACTGATGTCAAACAAAAAAGTTAGACACCAAATCTTAACGGTTGATTTTCGTCAATCTAACGGTTATAATTTATTGGGAATTAATAATTAATTAATAAATGTGACTCAATAAAATTATAACCGCTAGATTCACGGATATCAACAGTTAAGATTTGGTGTCAAGCTTTTTAGTTTGACACCAGTATCAAAGAATCATGCCCCATAGTTTGGGATAAAAGTGATCTTATTAAATATTCCCACATGTAATGCTATTCATTACTCAAACAACCGCTCCTTCTTGTACAAAAGTTGACAAATGGTTGGTTAGATCAACAACAAAGACAATTTTCCATTTGTGCTAAAGTTGTTTGCCTGACACCTGAGTAGTATTCCTACACCCATATTTGAAATCTGGACATGAAGCACAACTTTAACCCGTAACAGACTTGACAACCTAATCAGACAATTGGACAGGTCTATTTAACTTCAATTTTTTTATGGGTTAGGATTTTCAACTATTGACTTTGTTTAACCCAAGGTCAAAAACTGACCCACGGGCCTTTTTTTATCACCAACCATTTACAAACAGGTTAGTAATTTTTCTTCCCAGATTGATTAAAAGTCAGACCAATCCTACCTTGTCAACCTGTGATTGATTGAGTTGGGCTAGGTCAGCCTATTTCGACAGTGCTACAAATACTTAACGGTAAATGACTTGCCAACAAACTCTTTAAAATAAGTGAATAAACCTAACAAACTCAAGTCCTACATAAAAAGCAAGGTATTGTTTTGCAATAAATTCCACAAGACATGCCTGAAACCCATGCACAAAGACAACAATCTTCAACACACGAGCATTACTTTGTGGTGCAGACTTCTTGCCTATAGTATCAGGGCTGAGATCATGTGAATCTACAAATCCGATATGTCTGGCCAAGGAAGTTTCACTGGTACTACGTCTTGGTGCATTAATCACATGTTCAACAATCACAATTGGTATACGCAAAGGATCTCCGAATATATGCATGTCTTGAATTGAACGGTTGTTAATCTGAAAAAAAGCAATAATTCATTAATAGGTCACATGCAATTGTAAAATAGGAGTTACTAGTCCACATATTCAAGGTGATAGCTTACCTGCATTTGTGCAATGCTCCTTCTATGAAGTTCGGCACGTGTAGCCGCAGTCTGAAGAGGCTGTATGATTTACGGGACAAAATTCACGTTTTTAAGTCTATTGGATAAAAAATTATTCATTTTCCCCATTTTCCTTTTCTCAAAGCAACTTGCAAGATATTAAGAATGTAAAGGAACATACAAGCACTTACCTCATCAGGTAACTTCCACAAACTGGAAACTCTTCTGTGTACACCCCGATGAGAAGACTCATCACTCTCACTATTTATATAATGATGAGGCATCTCTACTTTAGAGTACACCATCCATATTGACCACTCAGCTTTCCGATCATTAGCCCATGCATCACGTAAAAATTCTAGAATCTTTGTTTTGTTACCCCTAGGAAGAAGTAAATATCAACTGATTAAACAAGGTAACATAAAGTTTCATGAATCATGATACAGGCACAACTTACAATTCTCAGGCAGATATTGGAACAATCTCATGTTATATGCATGTCAGCAAGTGCAATCCTTAATATGAATTAACTGTTATAAGCGTTCATGTGGAAATATATTCTAAAACCAACCATAAAAGATGCCCAATTACGCGAAAGAAAGGTTGATAATATCATTTAGCAACCCCATCAAACTGTTACATATACCAAATGGGCTTTTCAAACCAAGTTATATTCTCTTGATAGTTGGAAGGCATTACTTGTATAAAAAATGTTAAAATAAGATAGAAACAGAAAACTAAAGCTACAACAGGAATCAGATTCAAACAAAAGTTAAAAAGAACCACACATCTTGGTCGAATTGTAATCAATTTCATGATACAAGATAAGAAGCAAACCTGTGGAACTTTAAAAATATGTTCCATAAATAGAACAATTGATTTCCCAATAAATGAAAACAGTCCAACAGTTCATTCTGAGAGATGGAATGGAGCATTTCGACATCCAGAAAATCTGGAGCACCATTTCCTCCCTGTACAGGAATAGAACAAAGAATTAATAAAGAAAAAAGAAACCATAAAAACAATATAAATGGCAAAACAAAAAAACAATACTCTGCAGCATGAAATAAAAGCAAGGACCTCAAAACCATTTTGTGGCTTGCCTTGTCCTAAATCTTCAACATCTATTGCAAACGGATTTGCTTGCAGTAGAGACTTTAATAACTTCATATTATTCATTTTTGACACAAACTCTGAAATATCTATAGCTTCAGCAACTGCTTCGCTAATTATTTGTAGTTCTTCAAGCAATATACCACGAGCAGTTAATAATGTTTTAACAAGGATGACATTTTTCACATCTAGAGAAGCGACTCCACCAAAGCCCTGGTTAGTCACACAACATTCTGTTAATGCTTGAAGAAGAAAGTCTAAAGAATTAAAGCAATGGAATATATAGTTTTAAAAAGAATTAGAATCTGCACCATCCTTGATTACTAAGGTTCAAGTTACCATGCTTCCTATTAAATATTTTTTAAATAATTTTCACCCCATTTCAGAGCTGTTCCAAAGCTTTTTACTAGGGTCTGAAGGCGGAAAGCCTCAATTAATCTGTTTGTCCAGCGACGTTTTAGAGAGGCAAATGCATATAATGGTATCTGCTATCTAGCACTTCAGGTGTTCTAATAAAAACATACAGGAAGTTCCTTTAATAGACACCCTCATATTACCGAAAGTCTGTGAGGATAAATAAAGGAAAAGGCAGTGGGTTAATGACTAACGTGGGCAAGAGAGATGAGGTACAAGGATTTGTATGGGAGGTATTCTGGTAATTGCCTAGAGATGTAGCTGCAGGGGAGAGAGTAGTGTGGAAGGTATTCAGTTAGAGAAAATGTTTAAAGTAGAGAGGGAATGGAAGAAGAATTGCGTAGACAGAGGTATTGGGTGGTGGGGTTGGCCCTTCCTAAGGCTAGAAGTCTCACTATTCAGTAATTTTCAATTCTGCGAGTTATTCTTTTCCAAGAATTCCTGAATTCGCTTCTGGTGTAAGGAGCTAGTCTCCATTTGTCTGTCATATTCTTTTTTTTTTGTCCTATTCATCTTTCCATCATATTCATTGTCATATCCTTTTTTTTTGTCCTGCTGAACTTTTTCTCCAATCCTAATTTTAGGCATAAAAATTAGTTTATATGAAATCTATTTGTTCCATTAAACTTAGCATAATAGAATAATAGATTATGTTAAAAAGAATTTATTGTTTAGATGCTAACATTGCAGGGTAAACAGGTTCAGACCTCAGATGATAATCAAAGATAGAAATGAGTACAAAACAAAAAATGCAGCCCACATTCACTAAAATATGTGCATGTGCTTCTACCATAAACAGAGAGAGGTGCATGTGCATAAGTGAATACATGCACATAAGAAGTTTCCCCTTTTTGACTATGCAAAGTTAGATGCATTAAAAGCCATCATACAAGCACAAAATCATTTGCATGAGCACCAAGTACTGTGCCAGTATGCTTGAAGCCAAGTGTAAACATCTAGGTAGCACCGATACTTTAAAATGATTGTCATACCAGTATCCGATATGTATTGCATCAAATACTTCTCGGATTCTTTGGGATTCTTCTTGCCTATTTCTTTCAATTATTTTTTAAACTTCTGTACAAATACGAGTGGGACACCACAATGATTAGATAATGATAATATTTTGTAAACTAAAGCTGACTTATGAAACATCGATGTATAATTTATATTTTTATGTTAATATTGTATTCATTTTATACGTTACATCTTAGCGGTATCATGTCCTATAATTTTTAAAATTTGTGATGTCCATGTATCAATATCATGTCATATCTATGTCCCATATCTGTATCCGTGCTTCTTAGGTAGACATAAAGCAAGTAAAGACCACAAACATGAAACAATACAAAGAAATATCTGCAATAGCACAAAGCAAACTTGATCAGCATTTCACGGTGATTTCCAAATAGAGACATACAATGTTTAGAACATACCTTATTCAACGTGTCATAATTTTTATTAACAATGACTTCAGTGTTGGCAGAATTGCTGAAATGGATAAAGTGAACGGTTGCTCTATGTAATCAAACATGCATAAGAACAAATTTGCAACGAAAGCTGATCTATAAGTAAAACTTATGAATGGAACAAATAATGCTAAAATGAAAATCCAGTAGATTCATACAGAAAATTAGAACATCTGACACACCTGGGCACCTTTGATGCAGACGAGTAAGAGGACGCTGTCAGTAGACTGACATGTACACTTACGTCAACAAGCACTGCATGTAGAGCATCAAAATGAACGGGACAATACGAATGCAATCCTAAAAGAGCTTTAGGAGGAATTCGAAACTCATGAGTAGCAGCAGGGGAAACATCCACAGAACCTTGCAAGTCAGCACTGTAGATGGTATTCTTCAGTTAGCATATCAATTTCACCAAGGAAATATCAACCAGAAAGGGAACAAGCAGTGCTTGGATCTTATAATAGACCGCTGAATACACTACTGTTATGACTCACCCATTCTCAAATGTGGGGGCATACATAAGCTCAAACTTTAAAATAACAGCAGTTGTTAAATCCTGCAATTAAGAGCCACATAAAACAGTTCAATTTGATAAGAAGATTGAACTAAAGGACAAGTTGCTGTGAATAATGTGTTATGCTACTTAGTTTCTTATATAAGGTTAAGCAATCTATAATATTGGCTATTATAGATCCCCTTTAGGCTTTAGCCACAGAAGCAAACTAGTTTGTATTTTTCCAACCCTTGATTAAGTTTTAGTATACGTGTGAAAATAAGCATACGTAACCTCAATCTGACAAGCAAGTCCCAACCAATATATTTGGGAAACAATAAAATAAAAGTAGATTTGATGTATTTGTTGACTTGAATATGACATTTGAATATTTCACAATCCAGAAAAGTATGTTGGTTGTTTGGAAGTTGACAGTGTGGTGTGAACTATGGGACCTCACTAACAGATACTTGGCACCCAAGATAAAATTTGATTCCCACAAGATTTCCTTTCCCATTGATAACCCTAGAAAGAGAAGCGAATGACAGAAAGATCATTACCACAAATCCACTATGCGATAAGTTGAATGAGATCATCATATATAAATGAATATCCTGCCTAGCGTATTTTATACGAAAGGTCGGTGTGGAGAAGCTGTTGTCTGTATCATCAATCCTCCATACACCATTTATACTGCTAGGATCCAGATCAGGAGCTGCAGAACCAAAAAAATTCTACTTGTTAATTTTGCATAGAAGAAAAAGCTTCTCTTATAATTTTCATTTAAAGAAAATAGAGTATCCGTAAAAAAATATATATGTAGAATTACAGGAAATAGTGTCAAAGAGTAGCGGAACAAAAAACCCAAAATCTCATGCATACCTATGAAACATACTTGGTAAACTACGTATGCAACCTATTTATGGCATACTGAACAATTTCAACGAGTATAACATATAACCAAGTTTCGTCTCACACAAACACATTAGAGCATAATTTAGATAAATTACCTTCATATTGAACAACTCTAGCTGGAATTCCGAAAGATGTATTTTCACAGTCCTCCCATCTCATAGTAATCTTAATCTGATACCATCTATATAAAATAAAACATAAATCAGTTTATCAAGTTAGGAATTCTCAAAGAAAATTGGAAAGGAGAAAATAAAAAGTAGAAACGGATGCATACCCCTGCTTAAAAAGGTCAAGATTGTGAAACCTATGAACATAGATACAAATCTCCTGTACAGTTTCCAACATATCCACTGGCTTGGCCTTAACAGGACGTGGCATTACATCAGGCACACTCTCTACTGGCCAACTTCAGTGTTTAAGACCAACAAAACATCCTCTCCTAGTTGCTGCAGCAGCATTCATATACCACAATAACCATCACAACATCTCTCCCTTTTGGATAATATTAGTAATAATAGTAGTAGTAAGCAGCAAATTCAAATGCTCCCTTCAGTCCCTGGCATATCTCGTACATGATACACCCCCGCAATGCTTTACCAACATAACCAACACTAGATTGCAGTATGTATTGACTTTCATCAATCATCAACTTCCTAGGGAAACTAAACCTGCAAATAAGAATGATGGAACAATCAGAGATTGTAAAGAAAACAACCTGACACAGCTAGCTCTCATAAACAATTGGAGGAGACCCCCATTCTAAGTTAGTGAAGTAATAATCAACGTAATAGACAAAAATGCGATTTTTTATTATTATTATTAAGGTGATCGTGGCAGGGAAGCCTCAAAGTTCTGAACTGAAAAGTGACTACATAATCTCAAAAAATCTGAAACTTAGGAACAAATTCACAAAGATTTTATTCTGAAACAAGTACGGTTACGATAGCATTGGAGATTATCAAAGTTATGCTGGAAAAAGAAAAAGAAAAAAAATTAGCGATTGAGCAAGAGAAACAAATACCTTCAATAACTAATATGGCAGCTATGCGGAATAATGTAATTAACCACGTATCATTTGCGACAATGGCACAACAATCCACAAAAATGTGGTAGCCAAATCTAATTGACTCGTGAATCTGATAATGGAGCTCGTTAGATAGAGAAAATGGAAAATGCGAAAGAAGAATAAGTAGAGAAATCGAAGATCTGAAAGAGGAAGGGAATTCAATTCTAGGGTTCGTAATTGACGCAATTTGGGGGAGGATATATCCAAAAACATAATCCTTTTTCTAATTTTCGTAAGGCCTTCACTTTGAATAAAACTCAAGAGAGATTGACACGATGATTCCCAATAAGCGGAGTCAAATTGAAGTTCTTTTTTATTAATTGGTTGATGTCTTGTATAGTATATATTGTAACAACATTACTATTGATTATCATCAAGATTACTGACTAATTAAGGGGGCGGAAAGAGTAAACGCATGAAAATATGAATGCTTGTTCGTGGAGGATAAATACATTAGATGAAGAGGAAACATATTAGCAAACGCTTGAGAATGTGAATGATTGATTACTCGTCGACGATAAATAAATTAGAGAAAAGACATTAGCCATGTTCAGAAACCAATCCGAAACAACCAAACTCGGAATCTTCGAAAAAAAAAAAGTTATATAGATTTTTTTCACCTATTCATCCATTAAGTAATTAAATTTTTCATATCAAATTTTTAATACAAATTTTAACCTATAAATTGAATTCGATATTAATGATTAGGATGAATAATTTCATGCCAATTGATTTATTGAAAAATAATTATCCTTTTAAAGGATAGTCTTTTTAAATAAAAATTATTGTTTTTCATTTAAAATTTAAATTAAAAAAAAAACCTTTTACTTTATCTTATCCTAATTTCTTTTCTTTTTTTTTGTGGCTAAGGATGCGAAGCATCCAGCCCAAACAGAAAAACAAAACAAAACAAAATCAAGTTACAAAGCTACGAAGGTAGCTCACAGAGGCCATATCAGCCAACACTAAATTATAAAGCTCCGGGGGAGGTCCTTGAAGATAACTAAAAATACTAGCTGAATCATGATCCAAAGAGAAGTTCGCCAGCCAGTCAGCACACTGATTCCCTTCCCTGTAAACATGTTGCAGACGGACGGACCAGTCCCTAGATAACCACGCTCGTATCCGAGTCACCAGATGGGACTCACGAGCAGCTTCACCATATTTGGTGAGCACCGCAATAGCATTACTAGAATCACTTTCAACAATCACATTTCGCCAGCCCCTCTCCCAAGCTGTTTCTAAACCTTTTAAGATACCCCCAGTATTCAGCAATCAAAGCAGAACAATAGCCAATATTATAGGTGAACTCACCTAACCAATTACCAGCATAGTAACGAAAAATACCACCACAAGCAGCCAAACCAGGATTACCTCTTGACGCACCATCCGAGTTGAGTTTAATCCAATTCACATCAGGAGGGCTCCAAGAAATGAAAAACAGCGATCTGCCTGTGACTGTTGACATGACAGTATTTCGACTATAAGCCTCCATAACATAAGTAGCCAACCTACTAACAACAACATCTTTATAAAAATCACCATTCAAACTTTGACCATGGACCTGAGCATTTCTCCATTGCCAAATCTGTGAACAAGCTATAAAAAACAATGTAAGCCGAGAAATATTATTGACTAACACAGCCGCATTCTGAAGATTAAGCTGGAGCCAACTACTTAAATCCCCCTGAAAAAATTCAGTCACTATATCATAAGGTACAAGCTCCAACCAGAAACGAGTAACCTTCTCACAATCCCTTAAGACATGAATTATAGTCTCATTCTCTTGGAGGCAAATAGGACAAATTGGATCAACTGTACCCCAGCCAACCAATAACATTTTAGTGGGAATTCTTTGATGCAGAACCTTCCACATAAACAACTTGATCCTTTGAGGACCCTTCCACTTCCACACTTTTTGCCAATCCAACAAACCCGGTTGATGTAAATAGCTGGAAACGTTTGTCAAATGATCATAAATAGCTCTTGTAGTCACTTTCTGAGATCCCTGAAAACACTGTCTCCTATTGTCTAATCCATCATGAGGATGAGGCGGGAGCAAACTTTGGATCTGTTGCACCACCTCATTAGGAAGCAAAACACTCAGGCTCTGCACATCCCAATGACCATCATTATTAACATAATCTACATCTCTTTTGTTAATGTCCTCCATTGGAATAGGGGAAATAGTTTTATCAATTAACCGACAATCCCCGGCCAACCAAGAGTCCTGCCAGATATTAATCAGCTCCCCATTTCCAATTTCCCAAATTCTTTGATGATCAAGAGAATGCCATAACCTACACAAATTAACCCAAAGACGAGAATGTCCTTTTTTTTGGAATAAAACCATCATTAAGCCTATTTTGGCCACAATATTTTCCTCTAAGAACTTGAACCCATAACGCCTCACCATCATAAGAGATCTTCGCTGCCAACTTTGCCAGAAAGGCATCATTCATCTGCGAAAGATTCTTTATCCCCAAACCACCACAGCTCTTGGGCCTCATAATAGCATCCCAACTAACTAAATGCAATCTGCGCTGACCAGGCTTATCACCCCAAATAAAATCACGTTGAATCTTCTCAATCTGGTTACAAATGGCTATCGGCAATTTATTATTCTGCATATGAAAAATTGGAATATAGGAAATTACCAACTGAGAGAGTGTAACACGACCTGATTGAGAAAGACACATACCATTCCACCCATTAAGTCTTGCCAAAACCCTCTCAATTACACTAACATAATCATGCTTAGTAACTCTCCCATGTTGCATCCAAGAGCCAAGATACCGACCAACACTCTGAACCCGTTTAAAACACTTAACCTCAGATATTGTACTAGCAACATTCTCAGGGGTATTCTTAGAAAAATAAATTGAAGTTTTCTGAATACTAACCTTCTGACCCGAAATCTCTGCAAATAATTGAAGACAGCGGAGAATAGTATGAAGCTGCTCCAAATTTGCTTCCGCAAACAACATAAGATCATCAGCAAAGATCAAATGAGATATCTGAGGGCCATTTCTTCCTGCTCTAATAGGTTTCCAAAGACCACCATTTACTGCAGTAGTGATGATATGGGTAAGTTTCTCCATTGCCATAACAAATAAATACGGAGATAAATGATCTCCTTGCCGAACTCCCCTAGAAGGATTGAAATCATGAGTCAACTCTCCATTCAAGAGAACATTTATTGTTGGATAGGTCACTGCTTTCATAATCAACTCTCTTATTATGAAATACAGTAGTTTTGATATGCTTGGTGATGGAATTAATTTAAATATTAAAAATCAAACTTAATGTATTTTTGAGTAAACATGAGCCAAAAAAATTTAAAGAGTAAATACTTTTTTAGGTCCCCATTTTAGTCCTTTACAAAAAAAAATTAGTCTCAAGGTCCCTAAGGCTTTGTTTGGAAGTTTGGAGGGAAAGGGAAGGAAGGGGATCCAAGGGGGAGGGAGGAGAAGGAAGGAAAGAAAATTGAAGGGTAATCTTCCCTTGTTTGAGAGTTAAAAATGGTAAGGGAAAAAAATAGAGGGTTAATGAGATATTTTTACCATTTTACCCCATTTTTAAAATAAATATAATTATTAAATTTTACAAATTAAATCAAATTTAAAATTTCTCACAAAATTATTTATGTACTTTTCACAATACTAAAAAAATTCATATATTCGATGAAATTTCTATGTTGCAAACGACAAAAATTTCATTACAAAATTATTTTTTCGTCAGAATATTTTTCGTCGAAAAACAATGAAATTTTTTCTCCGATAAAAATTTTCACAAAAATAAATTTTCTATCAAATTTTTTGACGAAATTTAGTTTTCGTCAAAAGTTTTGACGAAAATGATTTCTCCCATCATATGTTTTAAACGAAAAAAGAATTCCGTCAAAAATTTTGACGGAATGTTTTTCGTTCAAAATTTCGATGGAAATGTGTTCTGACAAAAATTTCGACGGAAATTGTTTTGTCAAAAATTTTGAGGGAAATGTTTTATTCGAAACTTTCGACAAAATTTAGTTTCTGTAAAGAATTTTGACAAAATGTTGTTTCCGTCAAAAAAATTTACGAAAATATTTTCTGTCAAATTTGTTTGACAGAAATGTGTTCTGCTGAAAATTTTGATGAAAATGTGTTTTATCAAAAAAACTTGATGGAAATATTTTCCGTAGAAAATTTTCGATGAAAATGTGTTTCCTTAAAAGTTTCGACAAAAATTTAACGAAAATATTTCTGTCAAAAACTTTCACCAAAATTAATATTCTATAATGAATTTTTTGAAATTTTTTCAATATGTTTCGTTGAAAATTTTGATGGTAATATTTTTCGTCAAAATTTTTGATGAATATGTTTTTTTGTTAAATATTTTGAGTGAAATATTTTGACGAAATTTAGATTTCGTAAAGAATTTTGACAAAAAAAATTTTTCCTTCAAATTTTTTTACAGAAATATTTTTGGTCACAATTTGGAAGGAAATATTTTTCGTCGAATATTTATGCGAAAATTTTTGTTGAAAATGTTTTCCATAAAAAATTTTGACGTTATTGTTTTACTTTGAAACTTTTCAAAGGAAATGTGTTTCGTCAAAATTTTGGATAAAAATATTTTCGTGGAAAGTTTTGACGGAATTTAGATTCTATCAATAATTTTGACTGAATTTTTTTTCCGTAAAAAATTTATGTCACTTGTTATGGCAAAATCAGGTTCTGGTTCTAATTTCGTCTTTAGTTTTGACAGAAATTTTTTGACGTATATGATTTTCATCAAAAATTTCATCACTATTTTTGGAGAAATATTTTTTGTCGATAAATTCTGTTAGTATTTGAGACTTTTCTAATAATGTCACTTTTAAAATTGATTCACATTTATGTAGTTTTCACATTTTAATGCTAAGAGTAGATAAGTAAATTTAATATTTTCCACTTCAAACCCCCCAATTTGGGGGAACTTTAATTTTAAGAAGAAGGAGGGTTTTGGAGGGTTTAGTAAAAATCTTCAATTATTTTCCCTCATTTTTTTAAACTCACAAACAAATGAGGGCTTACTAAAATCCTTCATTTCTTTTCCTTCTCCTCCTAAAATCAACTCCCAAACAAAGCCTAAGAAATTGAAAGTGGACCCATTTAGTTGAAATCGTGGTCCCTCACAAGTTTGAAAAAGACCTACATTAGTCCCTCAAAAGGACTAAAATGGTCTATTTTGAATTTCTTATGTACCTCGAGACTAATTTTTTTTCTAATGGACTAAAGTGGGAACCGTATTTTTGTTGGGGATCCAAAATGGTATTTACTCAAAATTAAAATACTATTATTTTAATAAGAAATTACGAATAAATAATAGTTTGGAATCAATTTACGGATCTAGTGC